CCCCCCCCTTTTCTGTAGGAAACGTTCAGGCAGGAAGAGCAGCCGGTGGCTTTCTTGTATACAAAGCAGGAGCTGCTACAGCTCAGCCCCATAACCACTTTGCATTTTTAAGGTGTTTTATTTAACCCATCACTAGCTGCAGAGCTGTTGCAGCAGCAGCCTGGGATGGCACATGAAGACAAACGACTGGTTCACAGTCACTCCTACAAAACTAAAAGCAAACCCAACAGGGAAACCTAAGCCACACACACACACGGAAAAAATTAACTCATTGCTCACAGCTGTAGTTTTCCACCAGACTAAAGGCAACTTGAATTACTCCAACTCCAGCAACTTGTGTTATACAACAAGCAACTTTCAATGCATTCCTATTCAAGGCTTCCTTGGCATCCACTAAAATGTTAAGCCGTCCCTAGAGCTTCCCATTCTAATATTAGCTGTACCAATGCCGCCTGATAGGATTGGGCTGTTTCCAAGTTCCCAAAATCTAGCCCTTTATCTTCCTGAAGTACTGCCGCCCAGTTTTGCAAACACTTGACAGGCGCGGGATGTTGCTCGTGTGACTGCTATTAAGACTTCAAGCTTCTGCAGGAGAAGAGCCTTCAACTACAAGAAAAGGAAGCTTAAATTCCTCTTTTATTATTGGTGTGTTACTGATCAGTGTAATTGCAATAACTGAAACCTACTGGGGCTGGAACAGTCAAACAGTGCTACCAAGGAAGAAGTGTGGGAAGAGGCTGTCAGCAGCAGCAGGGGGTGGGGCACGGAGGCTGTTTGATTCACAGATCGAATTATTTCACATTAAAAAAAACAACATTTGTTAAACCTACATTGCAAGTATTTTCTAGGCTAATTAAAGTCAAGTTCTTAACAAAAACTGCCCAGATCCTTGCAATCCGGCTTGCAGCATCAGCACAAAAGTTAGTCTGACCCATGCTTCTGGAAGGACCTTTGCATTTTGCACATCAGGTGGGGAACAGAGACTACAAACATCAGATTTGCTAGGCATGTTTTAAACTTCAAAGGGAAGGAAAAAAAGCACATGTAGCCATACTCATGTCTTCTGGGTTTCGTAAGGAACAGAGATGCTCTAAATCAATTCCGATTTTGCAAACGGGGCAAATTTATACAGGAATCCCAGTCACTGATGTGTGGGCTCCCAGTCCAAATGAGCTCAGCAAGCAGGAAAAGATGTGCAGAAACCTTTCTGCATGGAGCTAGGGACTGGCTGGGTGCAGCTCTTAAAAACGAGCTAGAACAGGTCAGATATGGGTGGGGATTAGAAAGAATGCTCTCTCAGAAGCTGCTCTGAGCAGACTGAAATACAACCACCTTGTGGATTAAGTGTCTATTCCACAGCTGGGGAAGTGAGGGTCTGTTAGCACTGGGGCCTGAATATGGTGGGTCTGAACTTAACACAGTTACGGCAAGATGCACAAATAATGTAGTAACATCTGCCACTTCCCAGCCCTTCCACCTTGAGAAATCCTGAAGAACATAATAAACCAAACATTCACCCTCTGACCCGTGTAGCTCAGGAGCACACAGGTGCACACACACAGAGGTATTCATATTATTCTTTTACAACTCTTAGGGGAAAGAAAAAAAAATTCTGAAGAAATACTTGCTGATGTCCTGCTGATGGAAACTGAGAAGAGACCCCCTGCCCCATGCCCAGCAGAAGGGCACACTCGTCTGTTCAACACACAAGAGCGGGACACAAGGAATATTCTGTGCTACAGAAACAACCCACCTTCCTGCAGAAGGACAGAAAATCATCTCAGAACCTGGGACTAGGGCTCCTGTACTGGGGGGAGACAAATAAATGAATAAAATGTTAATACCTGAGGCCTCAATTCTGCAGCCTGCATGCCAACCTGCAGAGCATAGCAGCAGCACACACTGCCCCCATCACTTGTTTGCTGTGGTGAGTGCAAAGGAGAGCACTTAAGCACATGCTTAACTTTGAGCATGCCGACAATGTTACTGGAAAGAAGAAAGCCTGAAGCATGTACTTAAGTGCTTTGCTGAATCAGGGCCTAAATAAATGAATCTAGTTTGCAGGTTTATCGACACTGGGAGGCCAGCAAGCACAGGCAGCAGTCATCGCATTTCGGCTTACGTGATCACAGCCTAGACAGAGGAGCACGAGCTATGCTTTTCTGCAAGTCAACAAATACAGTTCTGTCAATGTTTGGATTGCTGCAAATTCCCTCTCCATGTGGCCACAGGGAAAGCTGAAAACACGTGCACGCAGGGCTGACATCACACCCAGTGCTGTATACTGCTGCAGCGAGGCTCCCATGCACGCCGCCAAAGGGTAACACACATCAGACAGGAACCTGCCACTGACACTATAAAGCTTCAGTTCTCCATGTTTCAACTCCTGGCAGCAAACAATTGCAACCATTCTCACCACAATGCATCCTTACAATTCTCTTGTATTACCCTTTTTTTTTTTTTGGGGGGGGGGGAGGGGGAACTGGCATTTTATTCACATTGTTCTCCCGCTTATTTCAAATGGGAGGAATAAAAGCATCCATGCCAAAACCAACATACAACAAGGTTAAAAAGTAGCTCCAGAAAACACAGGCTTCATTAGCATGCAGGAAATACAATAAAGGGTAGGTGCTGCCTGTTGAACCCTTCTCAGCGCTGCTGCTCAGCAAGCCAGATCTGTCTGGCAAAGCTCATCTCCTCTGCTGCCAGATGGGCCAATCTCGTTTCAACATCAGCGGCAGAGCAGAGAGAAAAGCCCATGGCCTTTATCCCTGTAAGAAAACTATAATATCCCTGAAGCCTCTGCTCCAGGGCCACTTGCTGGGCCAGGCTCTAATTGTCTGAGATGCAGGAGGACGTGGCTTGCTCCAGATGTCAGACCCGGCCTTGCAGCTACCAAAGTGAAGGGGAACAAGGGCACTCTGAGGAGCGAAGGTCACGCTGGGGCTCACCTCTGGCGGGACTGAGATGCCCTCGCTGCATGAGGTAACACAAGGATGAGTGTATTCACTTGACACTTGAATTCCTCCTCCTTTTCCATGAAACCGATCCCCTTCAACTGACACCCCCTATGGATGTCAACTCATGAGGACGCTTCCTGACAGCCAAGTTCAGAAATGGTAATTTATGTGACAGGGTGGATTCAAGCAGCTCCCAAGTGTAAATGATGCTATTTAAAGAGGTTTGGGGGTTTTCTGAGAAGAAAAAAATGACTCATTAGAAGTGGCAAGGTGGGTTCCTTATTTATTGTTCCTCAAGGATTTCCGGGTCACAACTGCTCAGATGAGAAGCAAAAGTCCTGTTGCCCTAAGTGACAGTCCTAGTGAATGAGAACGGCAGCTATTCGCCTTCGCCTGAAGTGAGGGGACACTGGGGCTTTCCCAAAGCCAAGTTCCAGCCATGCCCCTTCTTTAGCATATATGATGCTGTCCATGCTCCTCTCCTCAACACGAGCCACCAGCATGTGACAGAGGAACCAAGGACCCGCTCTCCTGAGTCTGAGTTCAGCCATATACTGCCAGGTTGCAGTACGCTTTACCCAGTTTTGAAAGTTATGGTCAATGAAAGCTCAGACCCAGCCAGCCTGGATGGACGGATACCCCAGAGGCACAGCAATGGAGAAACTGTCACTACAACTTACACCCCATCCCTGAACTATCAATGTTCTCTGCATGTCTAGATATTGTTGGAGCAAAAAAAGACTTTTTTTTTTTATGGCCTTTACTCAAAGCACTAAATTCAGCTGGCAGCACAAATGACACTCTTATTTATCAGACCTTACACCTTTGAGATGATTCTGTAACCTCAGCTTTTCATTGCACCTTAATGAGTACAGAAGAGCTTGGCGCACCCACCACCCCCTCCTTGATAAGCTGGGATGGGGAATTGGAGCAAAAAAAGACTTTTTTTTTTTATGGCCTTTACTCAAAGCACTAAATTCAGCTGGCAGCACAAATGACACTCTTATTTATCAGACCTTACACCTTTGAGATGATTCTGTAACCTCAGCTTTTCATTGCACCTTAATGAGTACAGAAGAGCTTGGCGCACCCACCACCCCCTCCTTGATAAGCTGGGATGGGGAACTCCTCACTCAAAAAGCAGCGAGCTGTTTCCACTGTCAAAAAAATCTTCCAAATAAACCCTGTGTTCCTGGAAACACTGCATGGCAAAGAGAAATGGGAACATTGAAAATAGCACATTGAACTGTTTTGCTCTGAAAGAGAAACAAAAGTCTTTAGGAGAATACCACCACCCCCCAACAGAATTTTCAC